ATTTTAATTATGCACGTTCATAAGTACAGGGCTTTATGCACATTGTTTTTGTTTTGTTAATTGTAAATTGAAAAGTGTAATAATAATAAATAAAATAATAATAATAATAAGTGGGAAACAGGCAACGGATCGCCCGCAATGGAGATCTTTTGTGGCAAATAAAACATCACAATTTGAGTCTCATCGACGAATTGAGTTGGGCGTCAGACGTGACGAGCTGAAAGTCCGACATTGAATGTGTATTCATGTGCCACCTGTGCGCACAGATCTTTACTAATAAGATTGAGTACGTGAGCCACGTGGGAGCGCACGAGCGCCACCAACAGTGGACGATAATGTGCTCCAATACTTAAGTAATAAAAGTTGCCCTGAAATTAGGTAAAGAAAACTAACCTGAAAATTACCCATGTTCGTGAACAACGCTTGCGCACTATCTACTTGTGTGTCAATTTACTAATATTTTTTACAATAAGAATCGCAATCAAGCGCTAGTCGCTGCAATAAAACCTTCGCAAAAAGTCTTCATTTATTTCCGCGTATCTATACATGGTATTAAGAACTCTTACAATGTTCTAAATAGTAGTACTTAAAGTAGTAACGAACATTAGAGGCTGCAACAAGGAAGTGTTCAACGTTCGGAATGCAGCCAGGGATAGGCCGCAGACCAGTCACGCGTCCCTGAGGAGCTCAAGACTCGACCATTCGATGCTTAAAAAACGCAATTACTGAACTTAACCCACCTAGATTAGACCTCGTTACTTAGAAACACTTAATTTTCCCATTCTAGCAAACTGTCTCCCAGTTGAAGAGATGAAAGCAAAAAACAATAATGAATGAGCTATTGGGTGGAGTTGGAAACGATTACAATAATTGCGAATGCATTGCTTGTTCTTTATACAGATCATGCAATTTACTGCTTAAAAATACTTTGTCTTTAAAAACTTTCAAGTCTTTTCTTACGTTACCTGCAAGTCCAAAAAAGCTCTTTAACCCTGTCTTACGGATCATTAGACTCATCGGGAAAGTAGTCATTTTTGTTTTTATACAAACATCGTAAACAACAACATTTGTTTCATGGCTTTTTATTAAACAAAAAAATTACCAAAAAATCTTTTACATCAGTATTTGTAGTAAGTTCAAACGTGCAAGCGCCCTCTCCGACGACCCTCACTTTCTTTTAACACCGCACAGAGCTATCACCATTTAGAGCGATCTATTGAAATGTTTTCATTTTTGTACGAAAGTAAAATCTGATGAATTATTAAAAGTCATGGAACAAAACTTGTTGTTTATGAAGTTAGTAATATAGTCCTGCGAGATTGTTAGTGTTTTACGAATAAGCCTGTAAATAAATACTACTTTTCCCAACGGAATATTCAGGAAAGTAGCGCAACCGCCTCAATTATAATATTGACGCATTATGTGGTATTAGTCGACCACTTGCCTCTAAACATTTCGCCGGAATAGATTGTTAACTGCAAGAATTACCCTGACCTCGGGCACTACTACGGAAAGTACGTGTAACTCTACGTCACTCATAGTTAGTGCAGCGGCGTAAATAACATCTCAATGCTTTCTCAAAATAGCCGCTTTTTGCCTACTGGGCAAGTGTAATGGCTTTCTAAGCCTTGACTGCCGTTTTATAAGGAATACATCTTCTTAATTCTTTGCTACTTGTCGATCGACGTCCTTCATCGTTATCCCGCTTTTTTATCCTACTATTTTCTGGTTCTTGGCCACTTATTTTTGAAATTTTAATTCGGTCTCGAATTTTCTTTTCTTTCACTGTTCTTACGATTATTCTATTAGTCGTCACTACTATCACTAACCAACTTTTTTAATGAGAGAGAGAATGACATTCATTTTGTAAAAAGGTTATTTTACAGTAAGTATTGTGTTAGTACTTTTATAGGGAATGTTTTATAATATTTGTACCTTTTTTTATATCATTATATTTGTTACAATCTTTTCTTTTCCTCTTTTAACATTTCTCATAACAAATCTTGTTAGCCGAGCTTCTACATTCTCATTTCGTTAACGCTAGGCTACAAATGCTATATGTAAACGTACGCATTTTGTTTAAATGCTACTTTCAATTAGAAACCCTGTTGCTGAAATGAAGCGTGTATAATAAACTAATGACGGTTCTTAATTCAGGCAACGCGTCAGTCATAGTTTTTGCGGACACAAAAAAAAATCTGAGCACGCCTTAGATACGTCGGAAGTGATTCAATTTGAATACATACTTTCACTCGCTATTTATTACTTTTGCAAATGCTAGGCGTGAAATACTGGCTACATTACTTTTCTTTTCAGTTTTAATGACCTATTGATACTAACAATAAAACTAGTAATGTGAGTTCAATTTAAATTAATCATACAATCATTTCGCTTAATTTATATTATGTATTGGTACGTGATTTACCTACTTAATATATACCTAGTGTAAAATTAATAACCGCAAGAAGAAATTACCGGCACGTGGTATTTGTCAACTTACGTCTCAGGGTGACAGGCGCAGTGTCAGTATCCTCAGATCTTTACGATTTAAAGCTCCGAGTGACATTGCAACTGCTATGAATAGGCGTGTCGCTTAATACCATGAAATTGTTAGTCCTGTCACTTGGTATAATAAAAAAATAAATATTCTTTCGTTGCTGGAAATATTCCCTACTGGCTTCATATTTAGTCATACAATAGTCTCGCGGTTGGCTGATTTGAGAAAGACTTTCACTGAACTAAGAAAAAACATCATCATCATCATCATCCACAGCCTGACTTCACCCACTGCTGGGTATAGGCCTCCCGTAGTTTGTGCCATCCACCACGACCCTGTGCTAATCTCACCCATCTACTGCTCGCAACTTTGACAATGTCATCCTCCCATCTCGCTACAGGACGTCTCACGTTTCTATATCCATTTTTTTTTAAATAAATATCTAGTGACCGGACGAACAAGTTGTGCGCCTGATGGTAAGCTACACGCCTGTCCATAACAGTTGCAGTGCCACTCAGAGCTTTAAATCGTAAAGATCTGAAGGGCACTGCCACTGTGCCCGTCACCCTGAAACATACGTTGACAAGTCCCATGTGCCTGTAATTTCACCATTTATTGGCCACAATTCGGTCATCGCCTTACTCCACCTGTGTTCACCACGTCTCGTAACATGTCCCGGCCAACTTCATTTGATACTCGTTATCCAATCTCTTATGTCCTGGAGCTTAGTTCGTCTTCGGATTTCGGAACTCGATCCATAAGTTTGATGCCAAGCATGACTCGCTCCATGGCTCTTTGTGCGATTCTCATTCTGTACATAGCCTTCTGTGTGAGCGTCCACGTCTCGGCACCGTAAGTTATAGTGGGCAAGACACATTGGTTATATAAGCGGGTCTCCAAGCATTGTGGACAATCAATCAATTTTAAGATGTCATTCAGCCCACCGAATGCAGTCCATCCCAGTTGTATAGAGAAGGAAAAACAATATACAATTTAATAATAAATCCAAATATAAACAACAAAACACACCTGTGTGTGTGTGATCAATGAATAAGTTTTGCTATATTTTGCATGGATTACTAACAAAACTCTAGTCATGAACGCAAGTCGAACGCTTGGCGCGCGCGCTTGCCGCAAAAAGGGTGATCGGGTAGAGTTCACCGACGTCTCACGGACGCGCTATTGTTACGAGTGCCAACATGTCAACTACCGTGTCAACGCTATGCAAGACATTCTTGTCACGACATCTCTAAATAAATATATCAATGCTTGTGCTTATTATTTGTATGTCCCTATTTACTTGAACAACTTTTCTTTTAATTGTTGTTTCGCACAACTCTTATACATGATTACCATTGACATGGAAATTGTAGTAGAAATGTGACTATACCCAAAGATGAAATGTATGGCTGCAGCAGCGCAACCGTTTTCATCACTTCTTTTCTTTATGACATCAAGTGACGGGACGAACAAGTCTGAGCGAATGAACTAGTAAGCGACAAATCTATCCATAACAGTTGCAGTGCCTCTCAAACTTTTAAATTGCAAAGAGTTTCATCAGCACCCTTAGAGCGGTTACACACGGCGATACACTACACTTGCGAGTTATCGCAATCGCATGGCTACACTTATGACTTATAGGCGATTGCATCGATGCAATTGCCTATAAATCGCAAGTGTAGTGTAGTATCGCGCGTTTCTCGAACGCGCGTTTTCATCGCTGCTAAAGTAGCCGTGTGTAACCGCTCTTAGGTTTTAAATCTGAAACGTAGCAATGTATGCTACAAGAAATAGAACTAGGCCGTAGAAATAGGTAAGAACTTCCCTGTTTGAACTCTTTCACAAAGAAATCTACAGTTACTAAATTTCTCAGACTAACCCATACAATCACATTGTAAATCATTTTTATATGAATGACACGCATTAATTGAATTTTATAAAGGTGTAAATCGTTTCATAAAAGTGTAAATCTGTCATCATCAACCCATTACCGTCCCACTGCTGAGCATGGGACTCCTCTCAGGCGAGGATTTACGCTATGGGCTGCTACGCTGGCCTATTGAGGGTTGGAGACTTCACACGTTTTCTGAGAATTGTGAACCATTTTCCATGTTTTCCTTCACCGAAACGCTCATGGTAAATTTCAAGTTCCGAGAAACTCAGAGGTGCGAGACTGGATTCGAACCCACGGCCTGTACTTGAGGGACGGTAGGTCAAAACCATTAAGTTACTATACCTTAAAAAAGTTATAATTATTAATAATTTGTATGTAAAGACTAAATGTAAATGACATATTGTTTAGCAGAAAATTTGTCGAAAATCTTTCAAGTTTTTTCTCGACTTATTCTATTTCAGTGAGTTCTTTGAGATGTGAACCCAACACATCACTATACAATAAACATGGCTACATTATTTTTTCAAAATTACCGAAATAACTGTCAATTTGTTTTCTCATTCATTTCAATCATCACTCATAAATCTGTAAATAATGAAAAAATCATACCTGTGTACTTTATTTTTCTGGATTTTCCCCAATATCTCTTCTACACTGTATCTGTAACAAAACAAATTAATCATCACTTTGGTATGTATTTTTTATAATGAACACCAATAATACCATCAAGTACAGAATTCATTTTCACTTTAGAAAGCCGTCACTCGAAAATAAGTACGAGTGGTATTTTATAAAAAGCTTATATCTTTGAACCAAAAAAAAACTCACACTTACAATACCAAAGATTCGTTCAAAGTAGGTAAGCATTATTTACGAAACTCAATTCTAGAGCACTTGGTGCAAAAGTCAACATGACTTTACTTTCTACTGCTCTTATTTAAACTTTTTCTAGTGTCAGTGAATGTTTGAGCAAATTACTTAGAACAGAATACATCAATATTCATAACAAGTGCTTCTTTAAACATCCTACTGCTCCAAATGCGTTACGAGTTCGCGTTAGTGATGGGCAAATTACAGTCAAATGGAATCATTCAAACGAATGAATTCTGATAGACAAGATTATCTGTCAAGATCTAAAGTGATGTTTTATTTATCATGGACACCGTCTAATTTTGTTTTAATTAAGTGCTACCGATTAGTCTCGTTATATGGTCTGTAAACCTATAATAAATCAGTTGTCAGGGGATTTATCCAACGGTGCTACAACTTATCGAGGGCTCATAAATAAATTGCAAATATAACAAAATAATTCATACGATATCATTAAGTTTATAAATCGCTAACGTGACCCAAAAACGAATAAACTTTTTAAAATCTAAAGCTTGTTTTTATTCCAATTCTCCAATTTAATTCATTTAGTTTCACCTCAATTCCAATCACTCGATCAGCACTACTCGACGGCAAATCGTCTATGTAAATAATTGGCATGTTTCTGCGAAGCGGAGCATTCGCACTTCATGTTAATATATTACACTAAATAACTCTTTTCGTTTTCGATACAGAACGCCTGAATGGGCTTATGTGGTAATCAAGTAAGAATTTCTAATACATTATACAGGGTGAAAAAAATCAATGGGACATGAAGGGGGCATACCTTAAATGCTTAAGATAGCTAATTTTACTTAAAGGAAACATTATTTTAGTTTTTTTTAGAATACCTGAGCCGAGAACCGAACACTCACAAATTCATTGTACTAGTCTATAGGATCAATATTAAGGATAAAATTTCTGCAATAAGCATTGGATCTTATAATGAAAGGCATTTGTAGTTGGTTTGATTACCAGCTCAGGTACGGTTTCCAAATCCGTGGATGCATTTATTCTTATTTTTTTTAAATAAGACAATTTTTTAAGTAAAATTTAAATAAAATCTTAAGCATTTAAGCTAGTTCGTTGATTTTGTTGATCGTCATTGATTTTTTCCACCCTATATATTATAGTGAATTTGAATTTGAAAAACCATTAAAACTTAAAGTTATATCTGTATGCGCACAAATCTTTATGCATTAACACAATTCTCGGAATACCAATCGTCAAATGTTTCGTCTCCATTGAATATAAGATTGCCTCACAAGAACATAAGTAAAGGCCCAAAAAGTAACCTCTTAGTAAACAATCTATGTAAATGTAACGGTCGCACTGACCCAGACACAGTGACGTGTTTTTTTACGGAATAAGGGGCGATTTCCTTTTAAACGAAATAATGAATGTCACATGATACTAACTACTTACATTCTAAGTTTGGCTCCATCTTTACTATATTTGCAAAACAAAAACACTTCAACAATTTGCATAATGGCACTTTACTTTACATATATGTTCTCGAGACGTCTCATAATAACGGGGAGGAATCGATTTTGTCACTCCAAATCGAATCTTATTTGTATCATCATGGTAATATTTGCAAAGCACTCGTAATCTCTCAATTTATCACATTTAAAACACGGTAAAATGCTGCTTTCGCCGTTAACCTCACCACACGGTCAGTTTTAATTCTCTCATTTGTAAGAAAATATAACGGACACATGTAATAATAGTACGACTTGTAACCATTTAAATTGCACTATAAAATTGATGTTTTAATATTAATATTTGCAGTTGAACACAAAGCCCTTAGCTTGTAGGCATGGAAATGGATAAATTCTAGTCGGAATGAGAAACTAAATAAACCACGATAGATTCGAGATGGTCTTTTTCTTCGTGCCAGACCTTAGAAAATATTAGAGCTAGGAACAATATAGCCGACGGCGCTCGTGCACTGCCAGCACTAGCAACGGACGGGTTAAATGGAAAAATAAAAGGTGAATTCGCATTGAAATAGTTCCTATCGCCTTTTGGTTCGGTTGCTTCCCCTTTATCCGCAGCTGATCGCGCTAGACAATGTGGTGGGTGGGGGGCGCGGGGTAGGGAGGGCGCATGTGCATGACCGCGCAGGGCGCAATGACCTTGCGCGCACATTCCGCCGCTCTTCCGAAGGCTCCCGCGGCTCCGCGGCCTCGCGCCACCGCGGCCCTCCTGCTCTCCCGGTATTCTAGTCTCTATTACTATCCTATCCCTACACCGTTCCTCGTCCGAGATGCAAACTATCTATATCGCTCGCTCGCAATCTGCACTCGCTCTTTTGAATAGAGCTATTATTTAAACCTGATAAATAATACCCCCCTGGAAACTAACAAAACTATCTTTCATTTTACTTATTTTTTTGCTAAAACCTATACAAAGGAACACACAGGAATCTTTATGACACGACAGTGAATAGTGCATTGTTCGAAGTTCGAGAGTTAAATTTGCATTTTACACTTTTTAATCTTGCAAATTGCAGACAATGTTCACGATGATGGTTGCAAAATATGAATTGCAATTTACAAAGTACGTTGAGTAGGAAGCACAAATAGGCGACATAGAAGTTCTAAAAACATACATAGCTCTTTATACTTTATATGCACTGTGTATTTTAGTGTTACAAAATGCACTTAGTAAACTTGGTCAACAACCTCTATGAACATAGTAGAGCTGGAGCAAACAAACTGGGCAAACAATATAACATTCACTAAGATACTTGCTTGCAAGAGCAAATATAATACTAAACGGAACTCTAGTACTATCACTCTAGGATCACTTCTGGAAAATACAAATACAAAACTATGCTAAAGATAACCTAACTGCAAATAGCGTAATCGATGTTCCACACTTACCGAACGTATAGACTTTTGCGATGAGGCGGAGAAATGAGTCAGGGCTAAGATTAACTGAAGTCAATGGATACGGTTGAAGTGTCTTTTAAAATAACTCTAATAGACTCCCTCCGCTCGGCCCGCTGACTCCGACCTTGTTCCGCACCTACTGAGGAAATAACGGTGCCCGAACCAAATTATCGGAAAACCGCGAGCGAACGTCACGAAAACCGTTTTTAGTTACTCCGAATCGGTGGTATGCCCACGCTGGGAATCTCGCTTGCAGACCGGAACATAAACACATATAACGAGTTCATTTCTTCCTCTATTTGCCTTAAATTTGGCCCACGTTACAAAACATCTCTTGGGTTATCGACAAACGAAAAAAGTAACTGTTCCCAACAAACATAATTGGAGTTAAAAGTCGGCCAGACCTAACCAAAAAATTTGAAAACCTCGCAGCCTAGCAGTGACATGAACAATTATAAAAAAGTGATTGTACGTGCTTGTTGTATTCGATTCAATATAATTCAATACAACGCGATAATAGCGAAACATTTCTTTAACGCACGAACAGCGTTTTACGTAGTTCCATGAAAATCCATAAGACTTACTTACAGTTTCAAAGAGCATTGACATCGTCCAAAATCGTGACTTTATACAATATCTAAAATGCCTTGCTTTTTTTTATAACAACATTCAGTTATTAACATTTAACTGCAATTCTTTACAGAATCCAATATATTTGTAGATAGCCCACAACTATGAAAGCGTACAGATAAAATAATGTATTATTTAAATTTGTAATTTACATTTTTAAAATAAATTAACATATTTTTTTACACACACAATATGTGACACAAATGTTTCACAAGATGATATGATTATTTATACCGTGTAGCAAGTCTTAAATAAAAAACCACAAAATTAATTTCTCCTTTTTATCTGACAATAACAAACTAGAAGTAAATACACAATTGTTCTATAATTCGCCAAGATGGTATGTATGTACGTAATAAGATTTTAAAAACAGATTTGCGTAACGTAGCTATGTTCACGAATAGGGTTTCAAAAGTTATTATATGTTTATCTCTAATGTATTCTTCGATAAGGGCAATATACTTTTAAGTGCATTTATAGAACTTGTGAGTCATACTTCAATGCATATTTTAACTCAATTAAACAACTCCTGTATGGCAGTTGTTCTTAGCACGACTAAGTAAAACAAGCCGTGTAGGCCAGTTTTCATTGCGTACATTGCATGTCCAAGTAATTGCTGCTTGCGGCAAGCCTCTACAGCGAATGCCATATTTAGACTTCAGCATAACTCCTCACGCCATTTTCTACGTGATCTAGTAAAATAATACATAAGAAGACGTTAAGATATTGAGTGAATAAGTTAATCGTCAGTGGACGTCAAAAGGCTACCGGTCCTATTATTTTTTTTAGTTTGTTTTATACAATAAAAATTTCCGATAAAAACTAAATGCAATGCAATATTAATTACCGCGTACAGATATGCAACTAAAAAAATAAAAATTTAACTGATAATGAAAATGTTGTAACGTGGTTGTAACTAATGTTGTACTTAATGTTCCCGACAGCTCATTAAGAGTACAATGCTTATTTTAAAATGTGTTCATATTATCTACACTTGCACGGGTTACTTTACTACTCTACCATAAAATGGTATGTAAAGGATGCATTCAACGAAGCCCAGAGATAAGCGTGCATCAGACGATAAATTGCTCAATTCATTTATTTTTTTCTATAATTTTATTTAACACACAGACATAGAGATAATTGTGATCAATTAATAATTAACATACTATAAATAATGAATATACTATTGTAGCATTTGCCTGTTATGTATGGCTGTGTGTGTTTCATATGGAAAACAATTAGTGAAAAAATATTCTCCCGTAC